CAGCTAAGTTGGGAGTATTCATCGTGTATAATATATGCAAAAAAACCAAAATGCATTCTCGGGGCAACTACTTAAAACTATCAGTTTGTACTAGTTAGGCAATTGTAGCCTGCATTATCGGGATACAATTGAGATACATATGTAGTTCTTCCTGCTGACCCATTTTCTTGTTTCTGGTGCCTGCTAGGCCTTTAGCCTCCAGACGAGACGCTGCTAAGATGTTTGCTTAGCTGGCGAAAGGCTTTAAACTTAGGGGAATTTGCATACATTAAGGGTGTTTTGTTATTCTGTTGGCAAAAGGCATTTCCAATCCTTTTACTTCCGCTTTAGGCAGCAACAGCAGCGTCAGTGTGCAGGGGACGGGAAGGGAAGGGACAGATGTGGCTGATAGCAGGATTCCCATTCACACTACCCAACACCCATACTCCCCACCACATCCCCTGTGTATTTAACGGTGACGCGTGCGTAGCGTATAAAGAAAAATATGATTACATATTGTTGTGTATTGTATGGGGAATGGAAAAGGGTTGACACTTTTTGCCGATGCCGCAAAAGCAAAGCCGCACCACTTTGAGGCAATCAGCGCCGGTTCCCAGACATCGCACAAACAACCAAAAGGTAAGAAAAAGAAAACAACAACAGGCTGGGCAAACAACCGATGGGGCAGCAACAACAACAGCGAAGCTGAAATGGCGGCATTCAATTTTTAATATTTGCCTTGCAAATTTTCTATAAAATGCATTTGTAGTCTACACGCCACCCTATACCACTTTCCCCTCTGGGTATGGGTATGGGTTGGGTATGGGGATGGCCATTCATTCCCACGGATGGGACCCAACACCGATGACAGGCACACTATCGGGCAGAAGCAGAATCAGCGGCAGCAGCAGCAGCAGCTCCAACACGAGTAGGAGGAGCAACAGAACCCAGCCAAAACTGGCAACAGGAAGCAGCCAACAGCCAGCGCCGGGGAAAAGCGGGAAAGTGAATGGAGCATGGCAATGTCAACACATGGAAATGGCAAGGACAGCGGCAAAAAAGGAGGAATAGGAACAACTATAAAAGCGGAATGATATTGCCAACGAAAACTACATGGCAGGCGGCGGGAGGAACCGTAGGGGCAGCTCTAGGGAACCCAGTCGGACATGGGAGGGAGAGTGCAGGCTGGGGCTGGGTCTGGGTCTGGGCGGAAGCAATAAATTGGTTAGGTAAAAAGCTTGTCGCAAACGCAGACACCGGTAAAAAGCGGCACGCGAGACCGAGACAGGGCCGTAATTTGTGCACGACTAGCCAGGACAAGGAGTTCCTGTAGGAGATAGTGGAAGGTGGATGGTTGCTTCGGGGAGAGCCTGAGCATGGTTTATTTGCCCATGAGGTTGCAAATTAATAGTAAATGGCAGCAATGCAAATCCATAATTGACTTTAAATTTGTTTTGTCAGACTAGGCGGTTGGGTGAGGGGACAAACTTCATGCGGAAATCATTTTTGGAAATAAGGAAGTACTTAGACTCGCGTCTGAGTCGGATCCGGATGTGTAGCAAGAGCAGGTTCGCCTTTATTTGCGACTCTAGTATGTTTTCTAGCTGAAAACTAAACCTTAGCATTCAATAACTAATTTTGAGTGCTCTCTCGTGCAAGGATCAATCGTGCTGCACCTTTTTGATGGCCACACTGGTAATCTCTGCCTCTTTGAGCTCCTCGTCGGTGGTCTTGTTGTAGATGTGCTTCAAGTACAGATTGAAATAGTCAGTATAGTTCATCGGAGTGGAGATGCGGTGCTTGCGGACCGGCAAACGTGGAGACAGGGACAGCATGCTGGCCCACTGTCCGTCGCAGAGATCGTCGTAGCGCAGCAGGCCCACCTCGTGGCCCCCCAAATCACCGGGGCCACGACACATGGGCTGCTGTCCGTCCCAGAGTTTCAGCACAAACTCGCGTATCCAGCGGGCCAGGTAGAGGGCACGGCAGTCGCAGTGCCACGGATTCTTGTCCAATTTGACGGCCACCAGCTTGTCCAGACCATGCAGCGCCCCCGTGGGCAGGAACATCAGCTTGTTGGAGTCAATACGCCTGCCGGGGATGGGATGGGGTGGGGTGGGGTGGAGGAGGGAGAACGGTAAAGGGATGTCTGTTAACATTTCATGTATGCACCGGGAATTGGAGGAACTCACAGCTTTTCCAGCTGGGTCAGCGGCTCAAAGGCCCTGGCATCGAAGTGCTTGAGGATGTTATTGTTGAGCATGAGAATCTTCAGGCTGCCGAGTCCCCGGAAATCGTCTTCCTCCAGGGTGGTGAGGTTGTTGGAGAAGAGCGTGAGCCTGGTAAGAGCACTGACATGCAGGAAGAGATCTGCGGGTATGCTGGACATTGAGTTCTGGCCCAGGAGCAGTTCATTCAGATGTTTCAGCCCCACAAATGCCTGCCCATCGATCTGTGAAACGGTTCAGCATTAGTTCTTCGCTCCAGCAGGGCATGCGAATGTGTTACATGACAAATCCGGTTCATAGTTAGGTCCAAGGTCACCAGATTGACCAGATTATTGAATATGGTGCCCGAAATCGACGAGATGCGGTTGTTGTGTAGCATCAGGATACGCAGGCTCTTTAGGCCCGCAAAGAAATCATCGTCTATCCTGGCTGTGGATGGAAATCACATTAGATAATGGATAGCACTCCGATTGGGTTGCATCACCAATTTGATTCCATCCAAAATCCAGAGTTTTCAACTTGTCCAAGGAGCGAACACTGCCGGAGCCAAGCTTTTCGATTTTGTTCCGTGACATATCCAGCTCCTCAAGCTCCAGCTGATCGCGCAGCAGGTTGGGAGGAAAGTTCTTTATTTGATTGTCACACATGTTGATGACGGTGAGGCGTTGGGCGTGGAAGAAGATCGACTCGGGCAGCTGACCAATCTCATTCTTGCTCAGATCGAGAAGATTCAGGTTGCGTAGCTTCCACAGAGTGCGCGGATCAATGTCCTCCAGTTGGTTGTTCTGAATGCGCCTATGACGGGGGTATAGAGAACGGGAGCGGGCACAGAGAGGAGCCACAGTACACTTACAGGTGCAGCAGACTATCCAGATCCTGGAACAAGTCAAAGGGTAAAAAGTCCAGCACATTGTTCGATAAATCCAACTTCTTCAGCAGCGTCAATCCTCGAAAGGTGTCCTTGTGCAGAGTCGAGAGAATGTTCCGAGAGAGATCACTGGTGAGTATAGGAATCATTCATTATTTAATTGAATCTCAAAGTATCGCCATTCCACTCACATCGAAACCATATTCATGGGAATAACCTGGGTCACCGGCACCGACTTAAGGTTCGTATTCCAGCAGGTGAAACTCTTGGTGTCCGGATTGCAGCGACACACGCCGGAGGTGCAGTGGTTCCACTCGATCTGGCTGCCGCTGGACAGGTGCCAGACGGGCTGCTCCACAGACCGCAGACGACTCTCGATCTGTCGCACCCGCTTCACCAGGTCAAAGTTTGCCAGGTGGGTCATGGCGTTGATCTCGTCGCTGTTCGCGTCCCCATTACCATAGACATCCATCTTCGGCTTGGACGGCTGCTGATCTCTGGCCGGAGCTTGGGTGCCATTTGGCATGGAGTTGATGAGCATCAGCAGCTGGGAGACAATACCCAGCGACTCGCAGGCATTCAGCGTGCAGTTTCGAGTGTCGGAGGAGATCAGCGGCAGCAGATACCGCTGCCGGAACTCATCCAGGCTCTGGGTGGGCGGATCCTTTCCGTGCGGCAGACTGGACAGCACGCCAGCCGTGCACAGCAACAGGATGATGCTCAATACTACCAGGACTGCCAGCGACATGCCGTTCGCGGGTTGTCTCAACGTTGTGGGGCAAGTGCACCGATTTCCAACCCTATTTATAGTCGATTTCATTTCGCTCGTAATTTGAATAATTTACGAAAATTTCCATTTACAGCAATTACCTTAAATAGTCCAGAACGCCACATGGGGGCCCACCAAGAAGCTGGAGCGTATCTTACGGTCGCTGAAGCTGCACCGCATAGAATATTGCGCCGGACCCGACAAGACTTGAAGCCGGCAAGAAACCGAAAGTCTCTGCGTGATGCAATTATCCATATTTGAACGCGGAACCATCAATGGAGGCAACTGGAATCAGCCGCCGAAATGCAAATGCCAGCTGAAGCATTCGGAGAGAAGATTGCTCCCTCTCATATACAAGTGTGTGACTGATTAACCAAACACTTTGCTAATTGTCTCTGGCTGGGTTTTACCTAATGTTATATATCGGCTACTTGGCGGTTCTCCTAGTCTTGATTATATTTTTTATTTGCAGATGATCAAACTGATCCTGAAACTGAACCCCTTTATTCATTCGACGATCCCAACATCCAGCGACTTGACAATTTTTACGAATTTATTCAAAAGAAACCCAAAAGATACTTTAACATTTTTATGGGAATATCTGCCAATGCTGCCGAAAAGTATGCCATAAAATATATATTATTATTATTTTCATTTTTGGTCCCAAAAACTCTATTTTATTTCTGTTCCCAATAGTTAATATCCTTTCTTCGAAAAATTCAACAGATGGCGCTAGAGCAAAGTCCTTTTAAGAAAACAAACAGCTGTTCCCAGTAATAAAAGTCCTTTTAAGAAAAAACAACACATAGATGACGCATCAGTAAAAGTCCGTTTCCCGATAAAACCAACAGATAGCGCTGCAATAAATATCCTTTCACGAAGAATACAATAGATGGCGCTGCACTAAGACTCCTGTTTTATTTACTTATTTGCCAAGTTTTTAACCAGTTAAATATTTAATTAATGCAAGCTAAATATAAAAAAAATCAAAACAATTTTAAAATGTAATTTTTACTGTAAAACTGTGGAAAAAAAAATTTGTTTAAGAAAAAAAAAAGGAAAGTCCGTGCACGCTTCGAACCGAGGACCCCCGGATCGGAAAGTCTCGACTTAACCCACCGAACCACGATTTGTTTGATTTTGCTGTGCATGCTGTGCTGTGCAGCATTTATTCCAAAATGGCGCAAATAAAAAGAATTTCTTTAGAAAAAAAAGGTAATCCAGAATGGGCCTAGTGTATCGGTTTCCGCTAATCGTCCTTACTGAACAACTGAATGGGCCTGACGCTGTAACGACTGGCAATGGACCTGTACTTTTTCAGCAGGCCTTTGTGGTAGGGCAGACCACCCAACTTCTCCACGAGATGCATGTGGCGCATCTCCAGCTCCCCTGGCAGCTGGATAGGGTTCTCCGCCTTGACGGGGCAGCTGTTCTTGATGCACTCGTTAAAGTCATCGAGTCGCTCCAAAAAGTCCGGGACAAAGAAGTCGGGATCGATGGCGAAAAAGATCTGGCCAAGGTTGGGACTTTTGCTCTGGACATTCGACTTCCAGGGTGGAATCTGGGTGGAGAAGTTGGCCCCAGAGAGGACCCCACACAGCAGATCAATCATGGCGGCCAGGCAGTAGCCCTTGTGGGCACCCGCGGAGGCTAGGCGCGGGTTTCGCATGGCCAGCATGGGAAAGCTCGTGGAATAGCCACTCTCATCCGCCGCCCAGCTGTGCGGAATATATTCGTCTTTGGTGAGGGCCCACTCAATGGAACCAATGTCCTTCATGCTGGCGGCCATGTCTAGCATAAAATACGAGTCCCGTCCCCTGGCGCCAAAGGCCAGGCAGTTGGCACCAATGCTGGACACCTTCGAGCGCGGCGGTACCATCATCGGCGCCCCATTGGACATCACTAGTCCCGCGTAGCCGTGGTCGAGCGCCTGTAGGACATACCAGCTGGCGATTCCAAAGTGATTCGACTGGTTGGCCACCACAAAGCCGACGCCCGAATTATTCGCCTTTTTCACAGCCAGGTCCATGCAGAAGTTGCCCACAATGACGCCCAGGGCATTGTTACCATTCACATGAGCACTGGCTATGGTCTCACGGATGATCTCCGGCTCAGCGTCCATATCGGCGCGACGATGGCGCAGGTCGTTCAGGTAGAGATCGAGCTGATTGAGGCCGCTGCCATATATGCCACGATAGTCGGCGGCCACAAGAAATTCGCTGATGCATCGCAGCTTCGATTCGGGGACGCTAATCCGCTTCAAGCAGTCCCGAATAAAGCGACGCACTTCCTCCACATCCACCAGCGAGTAGTCCTCCAACTTGGGATCCATCATGGGCATGCGGAAGGCACCCATGCTCCTTTGTTGTCGTTGTCCCAGCCATTGTGCTGACCGGCGGAGCCAAAACATTGTGACTAAATAATTTGCATCCAATGGAAGGAGATCCACTTGGGGTTGCTTCGTACGGGTTGTTGTTGCTGCTGTTGTTGTGTATATGGATAGGGACTACTAAATGAGTGAGTACTAAGGGGACACCTAGTCGTTTGTTAGATATATTCAATAATGTTGATTATTGTATTAGTTTGAGTAAATATTTGCGGGTAAAATACGAGTATTAGATACGATATTTAGTTCAAGGCGGTGGACGTGAGAACGGCCACACCACGCTCATAGAAGCTGTGCGAATCCTGTCCAGCGGCCACGGCCAAGTCCACGGTGAAGAGCAGCTCTGTGCGAGTCGAGTTCAGGTAGACGGGCAGCGTGAGCTTGCTGATGCGCGGCTCCGACGATATCCTGACAAGAATCGAGTGTGAGTGCAAATGCAAATTAGAGTTTACCAAGTCGTGTACTCACTTGACCCACTTGAGGATGGTCACTGGCAGATCCATCATGATGGTGGAAGCCAGAAGCAGCTCGTTGTTTTTGCACTGTGCGCCCTGCAGCTTGAGTCCGGTCACGCCGAAGCAGCAGTCCTTCTGGTCGGTCTTGAGGCCTGCATCGGTGATGGTCACCTCCAGCGCCAGCTCCTCCAGCGACCAGCTGTTGGCCTGGGCCACACACTGCCTGGTGGCCGTGATGTACGCCTCGGGATTGAGGAGGCCGCCCAGCCAAACAGGGAAGCCCTGCAACTCCTTGGCGCCCGCCTGCGAGACCAGCTGCGACACTTTCTGCAACTGCTGCACGCGATTGCTAAAGTCCGTGATCCACTGAATGACGGTGCAGCCGGTGGGGACTGTGTAGCGTTTCCATCCCTTGGGTATGATGCCGCGCACCAGCTCCGAGAGCATGGAACGATGATGGTTCGTCTGCTTCTTCTCACCCTGGCAAATGAGCACAACATCCTGCAGGTCAAGGATTACCGTCTGCAGCAGCCGGGCTCCGCTGGTCACCTCGCGCTCGAAGTAGCGATACAGCGGATCCTTGATGTTCTCCACTGTGCGCTTGAGCACCTGCAGACTCTTGGGCAGCAGCTCCAGCCATGCGGTGGCCGAATTGTGCAGCGTCTTCATCCAAGACGGGCGGCCATCCTCGCTGCGACCCACAGCCAGAGCAGACTCTGCTGACTGCTCCTCCACGCTGTAAGCCAGCTCATCGTCATCCTCCAGTTGCTGCATTTTCAGCAGCTTGCTCACTAGATCCGTGCCGCGTGTGGTCAGCAGCACCTTCTCAGCATTGTTGGGCAGGCCCAGCCAGGAGGGCGTCTGGCGATCCGTCAGGTTCTCGATCCACTTCAGGAAGTGGTCGCGACGTGTGCCGTCCGGCATGGTGATGTGGCGCAATCCTCCCGAAGCTCCGTCCACATTCGCCACCAGGGCGAAGTCAGCCTCGAAGCTGCGGGCGGTGAAGAGTTTCTTGAGGAAGGACTGCAGCAGACGCTGGTCAAAGTCGTTGTCGATCTTGCCGCCATAGATGGACTGGGAGAGCAGCGTGACAAGAGCATCCCACGGCACCTTCTCTGGGGGTAGATTGGTGCGGCCCATGGCCGTGGTATCGATCCATGTGTCCAGAGTGTCGCAGGCCACGCGCAGATCCGACTCGTTGAACTCGTACTTTTTGGCCCAGCCGAGGGGCACGTAGCGCAGTCGCTCCTGGACGATGGCGTGGAACCAGGCCAGCAGGAAGTAGAGTCTGGCCCGCTCGCTGGGCGTTTTCATCATGCGTGCCGCCGGCACCGTGGAGAAGGTACGCAACAGATTGGCCCGTATGCCCGGCGGCGGTTCAAAAACGAAGATACGTCCGGCACGCAGCAAGTTGACAGGCACCTTCGGGTTGATCTCCATGGTGAGGAAGAGACGGAAGCCCGAGTGCGGCTGCAGCGAGTGCATCTTCTTCTCCAGCTGTACCAGCCACTGGGGCGCCAGATGCACGTTCTTGAGCAGCACCCAGCGACCGGTCTTGCAGGCCATGTTAATGGCCCGCTCCGCCTGATTGAAGCCCTCGGCAGAGCCAATGGCAATGCTGGATATCTGCTTGTTCTGCTCCGCAGCCAAGTCATCCACACGGCCGGAGGCATCGAAGCCCGGCACCGAGCACAACAGGGCGGGCGTATTGCAGTTCAGCTGCTTTTCCACGACGGCCGTAAAGTCCAGTTCCTGTTCGGCGTTGGGCATAAAGTCCTCTCCAAGGACAGTGTTGACCACATTGTGGGCGGCGGCAATGACACGATCCGGCCGGAAAGCCTGGATGAGCAGCAACTGGTGCACGGAACTGGCCACGGGACTGAGAGCCTTCGACTCGTCCCACAGCTGAGGCACAACCTGCTCGGGGGAGCTCTGCTGCAGCCAGGCGCCCAGTTCGGGTATGGACTTCACCTTTTCCAACAGTTTGCGGAAGATGGGAAGGCGCGTGGCCAGGCGATTGACGCCCTCTATCTGCTCTCCACTCAGTCCCTCCACGGGAGTGGGATTGGCCAGAAGACCCTCGCGGCTGCGCAGGAAGAAGTTAAACTCTGCGTCAAGGTTTGACTCTGACGTGCTCTTCAGATGGATCTTGCACATGAGCAGGGCGAACGTGAGGCGATCGTTGTGGATCATGCCGCGGGCAACGCGCTCGTAGCACACTTGGAACAGGTCCTTGGTCACGATGCCCAGACGCTCGGAGTGATCAACGCGGCCCTCGAGTCGGGGATTGTTGTACAGCACCGTCGAGAAGATGTCGAGGAACATCTTCAGCGAGTACTGGTAGAGGAAGTGCACCTGGTTGAGGCTGTCCATGGTGAAGTAAATGTTGCTGCAGGCCACGGACAGAGGCAGATACTGCTGCGATACGGTCTCAATCTCGGCTATCACCTTGTCCGTCTCATCCACCTTCTGGTTGATGTCGTAGGCCTCTTTCTTGAGGGTCTCCAGCGTGGTGATCACCGAATCGTCGTCGAGAATCTTGCCCTTGGCATCGTTGAGCGCCTGCAGCAGGCTCTTTTCCAGCTGGCGCAGACGCAGCCGGAACTCGCCCTGAAGCTTGAGCAGATCGGAACGCTTCTCGTCAATGTCCGGACGCTCTGCCTTGAGCACCTGGTTGAGGCACTGCGACTGCAGGGAGCTGCGGGTCACAGTAAAGTTCACGAACGTCACCCTCGAACAGATGTCGGGCGGGAACTCCACGGTGGGATCACGCGTGGACAGGAATATGACAAAGGATGGCGACAAATCAATGTCCTGGTCGCCGAGCGTGATCAAAACTCGCCCGCCAGTGCGACGAAGTTCGCGATTCAGCACAGGGTTCAAAATGGGATCGTAATTCTCCACATCCTGCACCAGCAGGGGGTTACCGAAGCGCAGAGCCGACTCCAGATTCTTGCGGAACGAGTCGTCCAGGAAGGAGGTTTTTGTTATCTTCTTGCCCGCATACTCATTGAGCAGGAAGGTGGTGGCCTGTCCCGATGGATCGATAATCAGCGGGTAGCGGTTGAAGCGCTTCAGCATGATGGCATTCTCCGTGCAGAGGTCGTCCGTGGGCAGAGCATTCGCCTGCCAGCGCAGCCGTTCGTCCGGATTCGACAGATACTCGGTGCGCGCCATGTCTGCGCGATACTGGATGCTGGCCGACTGCAGGTGCTGCGACCAGGTGGTGAACAAATTCAACCGATAGTGCTGGTCGAAGTAGCCGCCGTAGGCAATGAAGGCGGCAGACAGCAGCACATCGCCCACAATGGTGGACATTTGGCTCTTGAATGTCTCGCTGGTCGACTCCCAGCGCTCGCGCTCAATGTTCAAGCTCTTGAGCAGCGCAATGGAACGATCCACCTTGGCCTGCACATTCTCCAGATCCGTTTTGATGGCCTGAGCCTGCGAAATCAGCTGGGCATACTCCTCCTTGTAGGCAGCAATGCTGCGCTCCAGTTGCTCCACAAGATCCTTGGTCTCGTTGGCATTGGCCAGATTCACTGCGGCCTGCTCCTCCAGCGAGCGCAGTTCATCGCGCAGAGGCTCTACACGCTTCAGCATGTCAGCGTATTCAATCTGTGCATAGCAGAATAAGATACAGAAATGGGAGTTAGAGAAATAGTTTCCTTCCACTTGATTTTTGGGTTTTCTTCTTACCTGTGCAATGGCCCATTTAACCATGGGACCGCAGGCCATACTGGCACGGTTCACCTTCTCAAAGTTGTAGTCGGGATTGCTCAGATACTTGGACTTCATCTTTTCGCGTACATCATCGCTTTGGGGATCAGAGATTATGGATTAGTGTTTCCACCAGGAATAGATATCGCGATTAGTGGGGGTTATTTGAATGATTTGAAGCAAGCAGAAAGCAGTAAGTTCAACGATAAATTTGACCAAAACCAAAAAAAAAAGAAAGAAGCCAATAAACCGAAGTAAGTTTCAAGTTGGGTTAAAGTGAAAGTTAAAGTTACTGTAGGATGTGGGGGGTCTATATTTACAGCTCGCTTAATATGTAAATTGCAATTGAAAAAATAGGAAAGAAAACTACGAAAAAGGGTGAAATCAAAAATCAACTCTAATGAAATCCAATTCAGTTTTTCTACGCTCAAAAGAACTAAAATCAAGCAGAAAACTTCAACAAAAGAACAGGAACAAGGAACAAGAACAAAATAAATACACTCGTAATTTCGAGAACAAAATGTGTGTGTGTTGTTTGGTTGGTTGGTAATAATTGAATTTGTTTCATGCTTACGTTATGTTCTCGGTACCGAAGTTAGATACAATTGAATTAATGAAATTTTCACGCATTATCACGGCACGGATCGACTTCCAATCGGTCGCATTCTCGCCCAGCAGCAGGCAGATCGATTCGAGTGCCAATTTAACCACCGACGGTGGATTGGCCATGGTACGCACCTCAACGAGCTGTTGCTTGCGTATCGATTTGACAGCTGATTGATTGATTGATTGATTCGATGGATTAACATGAAGGATCAGAATTAACACTTATCCAAAAGGTTATTACTATTCGTAAGATTAGGCTATTCGATTACAGTCTATAGTTAATTACTAATCAAAAACCGAATCGCATGAATCGGATGAGCCTTGCACCTGGAGCGAGCAGCAAGCACGCACTGCCTGTTCCCCTTGCTGCTTGCTCCCCTTGCACAAAGGCTTCGGTCAACCGAACCGAACCGAATCCACATGAATCCATCTTAATTATTTCCCACCTTTAGCGAGAGTTCTTCCAAGTACACACAAATGAGTGGACGAAACTATTATTATACACAGCTATACACATTATGGGATTGCAGATATCAGAGAGACAGATTGTACTTCTAGTAAGGTGGTTATGAGGTGTTTGTTGTTGGGGTTTGGGGTTTAGGGTTCAAGTTGAGTAAAGGCTTTGGCCTGTGCATTGCGTATGCTTTGGTGTGTGTGTTTTTGTAGTAGTTGTATTTGTTGTAGTTATGGGTAGGAATGAATTGAATGTAAAGATTAAAAATGATCGTTTAAGAGTATTGTTTGAGTTTGTTGGCCAATTAGTGAACAGTGAACGCCACAGGAAGTCAATGGGTGAGTGGTGCTGGGTGGGCTGTAGATGATGGCTGATGGTAAAGAGAAAGAAGTTGCGTACGTGATCTTGTCAGTCTCCAAGTTAACGATCGAGGAGATGAAAGTATCTTTCACGAGGATGCCGCGTATGGCCTTCCAATCGGTGGCACTCTCATTGAGCAGCTCGCAGACCGATTCCAGGGCCAGCTTGACCACGGCCGGAGGATTGGCCATCGACCGGATCTCGGCCAGGTGTTTCTTTTTAATTGAGCTAACGGCTGTTGGAATATGGCGGATGGTGGGATTGCGGATATTTCGTGGGTGGTGGTGGTTCGTTGTGTGTGCGGATTGTTCGGTGAGGGTCAGAATTGAATACACGACAGAATTAAATCATATATCATAATATACATCCAAATCAGATACCCAAAAGGGGAGAGACATAATCTTAGATCAAACTTAGGGTTCGCCCGCCCACAAATACGCGTAGAGTGTGGCGCCCGATGGACATACCTGCTTGGGCATCAATCACCGCCGGTTCCACCTGTGCCAGATCGGCCATCACGTATTTGCGCTTCTCCTCAATCTTGACCGTTTGATCGGCCAGACGTATCTGGATCTCCTGCGACTGGATCTTCTTCTTTTCGGCCTCCTGCTGGTCCTGGAACATTTGCTTGAGCTTGGCATTGGCCGCCTCGTTCTTCGCCTGCAGCTCCTGCTTCTTGACGGCCAGCGACTTTTGCATCTCCTCCACCTGCTCCACAGTCTCGGCGATCTTGTTGAGACCCACATTCAGATGAAGCTGCTGCTCCTCGAGGTCGCTGCGCTTCTCATTGTACAGCTTCACAAAGTGATGGATAAAGTCGAGGTAGTGGCGCGGAGTGACCGCCATGGTGCGGCCGCCACGCTTGGCCAGACGAGCGTTGGCCTGATGCAGTGTTTGGTGGACATACACGCACGAATTGATCACCGCATCCCGATGGGTGGGATTGGCCGGCACCAGGGGGCACACGGAGGGGAAAAAGTCGGGCGCATGCCAGTTGGGTCGCTCCAGATCGACGCGAATGGTAAACTCCTTGCCCACCTGGAACAGTGCCGAATCCGACCAGTCACCGAACCAATTCAGGACGCAGCGATTGAAGAGAGCCGGCGACGTGGCAGCACGATCCTTGAGGCCATCCGTCGAGGGGTTCATGGTGAAGACCACGTGCAGATTGCGCATCACCTGCTGCGTGAACCACTTGTAGAGCTCGTCGCTGGAGTCCAGCATGAGACCCTCGCGCTGAGCGCCCTCCTTGCACTGCGTCATCAGGGTGGTGTACTCGTCGCCCTCGAAGAGACCCGGCACCTCGCCGTTGGCCAGCAGCGTGTTCATGCGCTCCAGGAAGCCCGAATCCAACACATTCGACTCGTCCAGAATGAAGGCAATCTTCTCGTCCTTGCAGCCGGAGCGTCGCAGCACACAGCGCAGATCCTCGTCAAAGTCCTCGCTCGTGTACTTGTTGTGGACCTTGATCTGGAAGATGGACAGGCCGTTCATCCAAGCAACGAAGCGGGAAAGCGTGGTCTTGCCAGCGCCAGAGACGCCAATGAGCAGCAGATGGCCCTGCGGCTGGCGGAAGATTCGATCGATGCGCAGCACATGGTCAAGCACCTCGTCGAACAGCACCAGAGGCACATCCAGCTCCTCCTCGTAGAAGACCTTGAGGCGGGCGCGTACATAGTCACGCAGCTCTTCGCGGTTCACGGGCATGTAGTCCTTGGACAGCCAGTTGCTGTACAGGATCGGACGTTGCAGCGCCTCCTCCTGGTTGATGCCGGGGAAGTGCTTGTGCCCCACAATGTCAATGTTCTCGTTGGTCCAGCGCCGCTCTGGGTCATCCACCAGACGATCCTGGAAGAGACGCAGTGCCTCGTGGGCCCACAGCCGCACCAGACCCTCCACTGGCAGCGAGTCCAGCGGGCGGATGGCCTCGCAGATGCCTCGCACCCAACGCGTCATCTCACGGGGCGAGTACACGTAATGTGGCTGCATATCCTGCGTGAATCGGTCCTGGGAGGCCAGATAGAACTCCACCATAGCATTGGTGAGTGGCTCGGCGTATCCGCGCAGAGCGGGCATCAGACGCAGCATGGCACGCGAGAAGGTGCCGTAGATCTGCTTGAGCGACGTCTCTCCCGGATAGTCCACATAGATGATGGGCACGTGCCGCAGGAAGCGATGCGACAGCGGCTTGCGACCCGGATCCGTGGGCGGATTACAGGCGCCCACGAATTGTATACGCTCCAACGACACCCAGGCCTGGTCACTGGCCCGATAGAAGCCCTTGTGCTCCACCAGCTGGCGCAGGAACGAGATGACTCGCTGTGTGCCATAGCTGTCCATGTCCGGCAGATTGATCTCGTCACAGAAGAGGACCAGCCACTTGCCAATCTGCACGGGAGACAGCACCACGCCATTGGGTGTCTTGCGGTACTCACAGTAGTGATCGAACGTCTTCAGGAGCAGCTCCGGGGTGGTGGCCGATGAGAAATTCAGACCCACCACCTCCATGTCGGGCAGGGCACGCAGTGCCGAGAAGAGAGTCATCGTCTTGCCAGATCCAGGCGGACCGCAGAGCACTAGAAGGGAAGAACATAGAACATTAAAACACATGGAGGACACATTGAAGGATGATTCCACTTACCCAAGGGTTTGTGCTCCGCCAGCCACGTGTACAGCAGCGACTCGTGACGTACGGTGTCCAGAGTGGGCACCACAATGTCCGGGGAGGCCACCTTGTGGGTTTCCACCTCGATGACCGGCACCTTGTTGCTCCACGGCACCCAATCGCCGCTCATGCTCACTTCAAAGTCAATGATGGGAGCCCCAGCGGCGCCTGGCAGCGGCACGGTGGTCACGCTGCGCACAAAGTCACCCAGATCGGTGCGCACCTTGAGCTTGGCATCGCCGGCAAAGGACCACAGAACACAGTACACCAAAGCCTTGGGTATGTAGTGCTCCAACTGGTCGGCAGAGCAGGGGAAGTCCGGATGCTGCGAATTGAAGTTTAGCACGTTGCGGGCCGCCTGATTGAGCATGGAGAAGAGCGAGCTGAGGGCCCGCAGCCGAGTGAAGTCCATGATGTGCTCCTGGTCCATGGCGTACTCCAGGGTGCGCACCACAATGCCATCGCCGGAGAAAAACGGCTGCAGCTGGAGGGCAATGTCGCGCTGCACCTGCAGCGAGGGGGACACCTCCTCCTCCTTGTCCTTGGCAGGCTTCATTACGCCCACAAAGTCCTCGTCGCCATCCTCCAGGGGAATGCTGCGCAGCCGCGACAAATAGTTCTCGAATATCATCTCCGTGGAGAGCACATCCTCCGAGAACCAGACCATGCCGCACCGCGAAACGGTGGCCAGCGTGGCAAACTTCAGATCCTGCACCTCAAACATCACCCGCACATTCGGAGGCAGCGAGAGACGCTCGCCATTGGGTAGGGTCAGCAGCTTGTTGTCGTCCAGCACAGAGTTGAGATTCTCCACCCATTCGGGATCCACGTCGCCGTCGAAGATTATCCACTGGCGCTTGTTGATCTCGCCGCGCACATTGTCGATGATCTTGCGGAGAATGTGGGTGAAGAGACCGTCGGTCCACTCGCGGGTGTTGGGATCCAGGACGCCGTAGAGGGCCTCCTTGGAGATGGCCTTGGGATCAATGACATGGGCCACTCCCTCAACGCCCTCGAAGCGTTCCAGGGCCTTCAGGAGAGTTCTCCACGCAGTGGACTTGCCGGAGCCCGAAGGCCCCACCATCATCAGGCCGTGGTTGAGATTGGAGATCTGGTAGAGTTGCAGTACCTGAGAAAAGATGCGGAATATTAGCATGGGAACATTGGAAGGAGAGGTAGGGGTCTCTTAGTTACTTTGTCCACCCACGTGGAGCCGAGTCCCTGAAGATTAAGTAAGCATGTGCGTGTGAATCGAATGATTATTCTATGAATCCCTCCCTATACCCGCAATTGTCCCACTGATGCTTACCTTTTCCATCCAGGCAGCGCCCTGCTCGTCTCCCTCGCCACAGACCAGATAGTCCTCCTGGCACACCTTGCGAATCTCCTCCTTGAGGCCCTTCATCTCTGCCCGCGTGTAGCCCACATTGGGGAAGACGTCGCTGAGCAGCGAAAAGAGCAGTGGAATGTCCTCGGCCACCAGTTTGGGCACCATGGTCTCGCACACCGACTGGATGAGAATCTCCTGCTCAGGCAGATTCTCGGCCACAGAGGCCTCGTCTATGTTCTCGTCGCCACGCTGTCGCATCTGCTCCTTGATCTTCATGATGCGATCGCGCTTCACGTTGCCAGCGGATATCAGCACCGACTTGAGGGCACGCAGACCGAAGTCGTAGTGGCTCTGGTTGGATAGCTGCTCGTCGCAGAGCTTGAAGAATGGAACGATCTTGCAGGCGAGCTTCTCGGCAGTGCGGAATCCCTGCGAGAAGAGCATCACCTCGGCGATCAGCTGCCGATCGGGTGTGGTCATGGCCAGCGACCGGAAGAGCTTCTTCAGATTGTCCGGCAGATTGGAGCGGCCGGCATATCCCGGATTCATCGTGATGAAGATGGCCATGTCGGCAGAAACGCGCACCTGCTTGCCCACCAGCTCCACGGTAATGCTCTCCTTGTTGCTGTCCATGTCGTACTTGAGCGCCTCCTGGATGGTCTGGATCTGCTGCGAGCAGGCGGACAGCATCCGCTCCTCCAAACGATTGAACTCGTCGAAGCAGCCCCAGGCTCCGACCTGGCACAGGCCCACAAAGATGCGGCCCATGGCCTGGAAGTCGAACGTCTCGTCGCAGTTGAAGACGAGCACGAAGCGACCCAACTGATTGCCCAGCGCCTTCACCGACTCCGTTTTGCCCGTGCCAGCGGGCCCGAAGGGAGAGCCTCCGAGGCGCGACTCCAGGGCTTGGGTCATTGTCAGGTAGCAGCGATCCGTGAGCGGTGTCTGCACCAGGCGGTCCTGCACACCCAGATACTCAAAGCCGTAGAAGAAGCGCGCATTGGCCATGTGGATGGTCAGCTGCTGCAGCACCTCCGTCTGGCGGGGATCGAAGTAGAAGCGCATCTCGCACAGCCACTGGAAGGACTTGGGCGACGTCACGCCGTTGGTGATAAGGCGCCTGGTCACCGTACGCTTGTGCACAAACTCGTTGATGAGATGCTCCAGCTTGCGGCGGCGCAGTGGCGGCTGCTCCTGCAGCACAGAGTCGGCCAGGACATTCAATGTGTTCTCCACGTTGCCAAGGACCCGCTGCATGGGCTTGGCGTTGTTTGTCTCTGAGGCCTGCTGCAGAGCCGCCTCAACATCCTCGGACCATAGGATTTGGGCCGCTAGGACCACAATCTGGGCCTGGTATTTGTCGCACCATTCCATGTAGGCCTGAGGATCGATTTTGCCATCGCGGAACTGCTTGATATCCTGCACGGCCTGAGCCAACAGGGAGGCCAGAGTGAAGCGCATCTGCTTCTCCACCAGCGACAGCCACTCGTTGATCTTGGGATGCTCCACGGTGGACACGGGATTGATGAAGTGCACCTCCTCGCCCTCGCGCGATGATATGCCCAGAATGACGTTGCTCTCCTCGTTCAAGAGGATGGCAGCCACGCCGGCAAACATCTTCTTGAAATGCTTTTGGAGACGGGCAATGTTCTTGCTGTTGCCGATTATCTCCAGCAGATCCTCGTCGCCCACGAAGTAGAATCGGGGGAAGGAGGTACGCTCCCTCTCCAAGTACTCGCCGAGGGCCTTCTGAATCTTTCCCAGCAGATCGGCCAGACGCTCCAGCGAACGTTGCACGGCTGGAATGTTCAGGACATCCATAACTTTCGGCGACTTTGTGACTTTCTTCATCAGACCGAGAAACTCGGAGCTAATGCTCTGGAAACGGGATGTCTCCACGGGTAGCAGCGTCTTGATGTCGGCACTGCCCGAGAAGATGCCCTCGAGGTACACCCAGCGACGCTGCACATCGATCCACACGTCAAAGAGGGCGTTGATCCGGTTCAGCTTCTCCTCCCAGGTGAGGGCCTCCTCCTCAAAGACTTTGTAGTATGGCGATAGCTTCATGGCGGCCACCGAGTTGATGTGCTCCTTGACCTTGTTGAAGAGGTCATCCCAGCCGCGGATGATGCGGCACTTGTTCTGGTAATTGATCAGATCCAGCTCGTAGTTCTGCCAGGACTCGCGCACCTGCTTGAGGAACTCCTCCAGCGCCATCTCGCCCTGGGCCACCAGAATAATGTCCTTGACAATGCCCTCGTTTTTCTGCAGATTGACATCCCACACCTGTCCCAGTGTGAGGTCGGAGATGACCCAGTTGACGCGCAGCTGCTTTGTCAGCTGCTTCCAGTGGCGCTCCTTGAGGGCGTCCGACTTTAGCTCCACAATCAGCATGTTCACCTTGATGTAGCTCTGGATGAGCTTCTTCACGTACTCGTACGACTCGTACATGCGGAGGCGGGCAGGCAGTTCCTTCAACTGTGCCATCATCGCCTCCAGCTGCTGGCGCAGCTTGCGCGGCTGCACCGACAGCCAGGGCTTTTCGCGCGTCTCATCTATCTGGGTCCACACCTTCGACAGCTCGCCCCATACGCCACGAAGATCCTGCAACTCCTCCAGAGCCACATTCATGCGCTCGGCACTGTTGTTGGGCACCGCCGACTCTTGCAACTCCAGAGCCTCCTTGGCCTTGGCCACATTGTCGCGCTCCTCCTTGAGGCGCGAGTACTTGCTCTCAAAGATTTGAAGCTGCTGAAGAGCATCGTCCGGACGGATTTTGCCGCCCGTGGGCTTGGTCTTCTCCCAATCGTTGAGGAAGTCCACGGTACGCGTTTCCACGGCCTTGTCCTCGGCCACAATCTTGGCCTGCAGGCTAGCCACCTGCGTCTGGATGGCCGTGTCCTTGCGTTTGATGATCTCATTGAAGGCCGACCACTCGCCCTCGATGTTGTCCACGTGCAGCCAGTTGTTGGGGAACTGGAACCGCTGGCGCTCAAGTATGCGCTGCGCCTCCCTGAACACCTCCACCTGCTTGTCCCACGATATCATGTCCTTCTTCAGCGACTGCACGTAGGTGATGAAACTGACGGCATCCGAGGTGCTGGCCGCCTCAATGCTCTGCATCTCGAGGTCAGTGCGCGACTTGGACACCTTGCCGTGGAAGCTGGTCATTTCGGTGCCCAGCAGCGTTCCAAACTTGCCCAGCGCCTCCTTGTGCCACGAGTCGTACTTCAGAGTGACCTTTGCCTGCACCTTGGCGTAATCGATGATGATGGGGCCATAGGCGCGCCGAGTGTCGGACGTGTCGAAGGTGGTGCGTGATTGCTTGATGTCGTTGAGGCACTTTATCCACAAGTTGACATCCTCACCCAGGCGGCCGTACAACATGTCTGCCTGTAGGTCCCACAGGCTCTGGTAGCGCAGCCACTCGTCCACATAATTGCGCACTTCGCCCACTTTGTTATTGATGGCTCCATAGGCACTGTCCAGGATCTTGCCCTCAGGCAGCTTTGTCAGCAGATTGCGATACGTCTGCGAGACGGGCTTCTCCAGGCCCACCTGGTAGCGGGTGCTCTGGAGGCGCATCTGCGAGGTGACGATCGCCTGCCAGGCGAAGAACTGCTGCATGATCTGGAAGCGGGCCTCCTCAATGGAGGGATAGAGATACATCTGCTGGTTGGTAATGCGAATCTCGTGCACGGCATTCTGGATCTGCGGCTCCCCGCCGAGCTTGTGCGTGGGCTGGGCCGGTGCATCAGTGTCCATGGAGGTGTCCACCTCCTTCTTGTTGCCAGTCAGGGCCTCAGTCCAGGCCTGGATACCCGCCTGCAGTCGCAGTGCCAACTTCTTCTCCACCTCCTCATCCAGACGCGTGACCCAAACGCTCAGATTGGAATACTGACGCAGCGAAAGGTCATCGACAGCGTGTTGAATCTTTGATAGAATCTCCACAAAGGTGGCAGCACTATAGGGACATGTCTCCAGCGAGCGTACATCCACATCCAGTTGCTCCTCAACGACCAACAAGTCATCAACCTATAGAAGAGGGAAATCTTAAGTAAAATTCATAATTGTATTCCCTCAATGTGCGTTTACCTTCTCCTGGAACTGCGTAACGCATTCCGAGAGACGAAGAACATAAGGATCCAGCTTGTACGATTCCCAAACGAGTCCAATGCCCTCGGAAACCAAGTTCAAGACATCCTTGCGCAGTCCTGCCACCAGCGGCACAATGCTGGCACGATCTTCGATCTAGATGGAAACCATTTGATTAGCTTGTTAGCTCATGTAATGTTTAGAAAGTGATTCTTAAATTGCATGCGGGAGTTGAATAAAATCGAAACTAGGAAATCAAATGGTGGTTGCAGGTACAGGAAATATTTGGGGAATTAACAAACATTTTTATGGGTAGGGTGGGTTGGGGAGGGGTACAACAACGCAACAACACTACCTTGAATACGGAATTTTGTGCTAGACTCCTATTATTAAGCTGCATGAAATAAATGTTGTTGTAGGTTCGTTACAGATTCAGAACGAGAGAGAGAGAGAGAGTGAGTGAGTGATAGGGTCTCGTGGTGAGTCTATAGGTTTCCGGTCTATGTGGTGTGTGTACTAGTGTCTGGTGTGTGTTAAGTGGTGGGTGGGTAACAAAATTCAAGCTGCACGCCAGAAACAAAGCAATGCAAAGAGAACAACGTGAAGCCAGTGGTGACTCCAAAACGTTGACGTCGTGTGCTTGTGGTTGTGGCAGATTGGAGTGTACAAAAGAGTGTTGGAAGAAATGCTTGACTGATATCAAATGAATCTTTTGCCGATGCTCTTCTGGCATTCGTTTGATTACAGCCGTTCTTCGGAAGGGAGAGTAGCCAGCGTCAATGGCAGCTTACCTTCTCCAGGGTGCGTTCGTAGGTGCGAACACTCTCAATCAGCGATATAGCATACGGATAGATCTGGTTTGCCTGATGCGCCTTATTCACAATGGTGAGCGGTACTCTGGAAAGAAAAGCCATGAAAATCCGAGCCAAATCAAGCGCCAATTTAAATACCTGAATCCCAGATTCTTGATATTCCGCACCTCCTTGGCCAGCGTGATTATCTCTGGCAAGAAGTTGACCCTTAGTCGCAGAACATTGCCACGTCCAGTGCGAGAGCGCGTTGACTCAATTGTGAAAATGCGACCAGTGCTGCCAAAGTTGCGCTCCTGCACCTTGCGGGCCCACTCGTTGAACACTTCAACGGTGGAGAGCTTGGCGCGGAAGCTAACGCCGTCTTCCTTCAGCCTCTGGCCCTCGATGTGGGTCTCCCAGCCCTTGCCCAGCACATCCTCCACGCGCTTCAAGTACATCGTCAGCTGATTGTCGATCTGACGTGCCCAAATGATGGAACCCGCCACCGGGGGCAGATCTCGCACCGATGAGAGACGACAGCTCTTGCTCTGCGGATACTGCACCTTGAACTTCTCATGCAGTGCCTCAATGTCGTCCTTGACACGCTGTATCAGCTGCGTCTGGTACTCCCGTATGGCGCCCCGAATGTGCGGGCGCACAAAAAGCGCATTGAAGCGCGAGAAGATGCGGAACATCTCGTTGGCATTCTTTGCCGTTCCCAGTTGGTCGCGCAAATGAGCAGTGATGCGAGTCTCGACGCGATCTGTGGGCAAAAGGAATTCGTTTGAGTAATTTTCGAGCCAAGTAAAAACGATTCTAGAAACCAACCAATCTTCTCCTCGTAGCGCTTCACTGCGGCCTCCCAGGCCTCTGAGCCCTCCTTGGTTATGTCCAAGCAATCCACCTCCTTGACATTTTCGTATGCAAGATTCACCTCCTCGATGGCATTGGCATCGGCTGCATCGAGGCTGTAGGGCTGTTTGGTCTCCACGGTGCTGCCGTCATCGCCAACAGCCTGCTTGGTGGGGCGCAGGACGCGCAGGATAACGGTGCGCAGCTGTTCGTGCTGGCGCCGGAACTTGCGCATGTGCTCCATGCGGGTCTGCAGCTTTTTGTGGGCGGGCGAAACGCGCCACACCATCTTCAGGTGCTCATCCCGCTTCTTCTTCACAATGTCACGGAGCAGGCCCTGCAGCTTGTCGTACTCGTCGTCCCAGCAGCTGAAGATCTCGAAGCACTGGTTCATCACGCGCTCAAACTCGTCAAAGGGAATGTGCATCAGCCGCCGGGTGCCCAGCACCTTGAGCAGCTGCTGCGACAGATCCCGCGAGATGGCCTCGATCAGCTTGAGGCAGCGCTGAATGGGATACTTGGTGTTGCGGACCTTCCGCAGATGCGAGAAGATTTGCTGCACGGCCGGCCGAATCTTCTCCAGCTCCGTGGCGGACAGCAGATCGTTGATGGGGAAATCCTTCATCAGCGGATTGTAGTCGGCCACAGTGGCCAGAGCCTGCTTCAGTTCCGTGTCCGTGTCGAACGAGACGGTGGCATGGAAGCGCTTGCCATGCTTCAGGATGTCCAACGTCAGAGCCACCTCCACGGACTCGCCCTTCTCTTGGATGCGATAGAGGGCACGCTCCAGATTCAGCCAGAAAGAGATTTCCTAGAAAGATTCATGTTTAAATATAACAAATTCGTTTTTCATAATTAATTTCTCGCACCTGCAGCGCCGTTCCCGAGCCGGGGTCACGATTTAGCTTGGTGACCTTCTTGATTTCGGTTATCCAGCGATTGACGCCGTTCTGCAGCTGGTTGAGAAACGAAGAGTCCTCCACCTTGTCGCCAAAGTCCACCACCTTGGCCTTGCGTCCCTCATCCGCGCACTTGCGGATCACTGCATTGACGGTCGGATGTGCCGTCAGGGTAATCTCCGGTATATCAATGTTCTGCTGCAAGTGCAGCAGCCCCATCTCCAGCTCCGCCAGCTTCTTCTCCACCGACGGGGCCATCTTGTCGCCATCCCGGTCGGCACGACCCGACTCCTTGACATACGACTTGAAGTAGGGGGCCAGGGACTTGCTGATGAACGCGTGCAGCGTCTCGTACGGGGAGCCATCGGAGAAGTTGATTAGTCGCAGCTGGGAGTGAATCGACTTGTCCGCCTCCACCACAACGCCTCGCTTGATGCATGCCAGCGAGGCCATGCGGCTGTTGGTGAAGTGAACGTCATTGCTGATTTGGTACGACACCTGCTCCTTCTCCTCCTCCCCCTCCGCGGGCTGTTCGCTATCGTCCTCTGCACGAATCAAAGAAATAAATCACTCGCGTGGCTGCTATCGCACTGTTTCATTCACCCACATTTCACGGCCTCGCCGCCCATCTGGCCGTGAGGCTCAATGGCGTGGCACTGACATCATTTCATTACCAAGGCGTCACCTTCAAAACATTCAGCGGCCAAGGGAAAAACCTTCAAAATTTGTACAGCCAAGGCTGGACCTTGGCGCTGTCATTGCTCCCACATTTGTTGGCCCCAGTGCCAATGTCAATGACAACGCTCAATGCCGCAAGTCCAATGGAATGAGTACGTACGCAGCCCCAAGGTCGCCCCACTCCGCATCGACTTGCTTCCGCAAACAAACTTGTTGATTTTCTGTTTATAAACAAACGAAAGCCGGCCGGCAATAACGATGTCATGCCACAGGTGGCCGTGCCAACAGCTGGTTTTTTTTAGTACATTGCTATCGATAATTTAATTCGTGAGTCACGAGCTGCGCTGACGTCATGCGCAGAACAAGATTTTGGCAAAAGCTAAACAAAAACAAAAGTTGCATTGATTTGTAACAAAAACTATGCGGGCTTTGGCCACCTATGAAGAATGACTCATTATGGGTTTCGGGAAAATAATCTTGGACAGAGCCTTCCGATCCGACTACTTTAAATGGATTTTATAGACTTTCTCCTGCCCTAGGGAACGCCATTTTGTGCAATTTTTTTTTTTTTTGCATTGTCGTTCCGTGTGCCAACGCTGCAGAAAAATGTGTTCTCACCTTTTATGCAGTTCCGCTGCACATACAGGGCCTGCACCTGGGGGTCCGAGAGGAACTTTCTGATCGTCTCCTGGTTGATTGGGTCGTCCAGGGCTTTGTTCAGAGATTGCGGCACCACTTCATCATCGGGCAGCAAGATGGTGACTGCCTTGCGGAGATAATTTGCAAATGCATCATAGTTGGCTATGGATACATTCACGCCGGGATCCACCGATGTGTCGGGGTTTTCCAGGGAATCACCCATGTCCACAAATGGTTTTTAAACACACAATTTCAATATTTAATTTGCACAATAAGAATTTTTCACAACCTGCCTCGCCCAGTGAAAAATTACGTCTGCACTGCAGAAATGGAGTGATGGCGCTGCCAGACTGTTCAAAAAATGTGCTAAAATCGATGAGCTACACAAATTGGTACCGCAGCCCTGGACGCAGTGATGCCGCATCAATAAAATTAGTCCCGCCAACAATTAATCAAGCAAAATATTGGGTCGATGGGCAAGGCGGCAACGCCATGTCTTAAAACAGCTGATTTGCTCCGGTTCTTTTGATTTTGTTATTCAATAAGTGCGGCTGGCCGCTCAAATGTGCAATTTAATCAATTAAAACAGACAGAATGCAGGCGCTACGACAATCGCTGAGCTTTCGCAGCCTTCACTGGAACTGTTGGAGGCGCTTTTTAACGCACAGCTGCACTGGCAACGAGGTGAAAATGCCAAGTAAATCAAGCCTTAAAACTGAAAACTTACTTTTCCTTTGCAGTATTTGGAGCTGAATAGCGATGTGAAGCATCGCATAGAAACCCACTGGCGGAGTCAGCTTAGTGGCGGACAGTTCAATGCCAATCAGCCGGCCGAGAAGTTCTACGTGCTCTCCATGTTCCCCTATCCCTCGGGCAATCTGCACATGGGGCATGTGCGGGTCTACACAATCGGCGATGCCGTGGCCCGTTTCCAGCGAATGTGCGGCAAGAACGTGTTCCAGCCGATTGGCTGGGACTCCTTTGGTCTGCCCGCCGAGAATGCTGCCAACCAGCGGGGAGTGGAGGCGGCCGCGTGGACGGAGCAAAACATAGCGCAGATGAAGCAGCAGCTGCAGCGGCTGGGCTGCTCCTTTGACTGGACGCACGAGCTGTCCACGTGCAGTCCTCAGTACTACCGGTGGACACAGCATCTGTTTCTAATGCTGCACAGGCACGGACTGGCCTACCAGAACGAGGCTCTGGTTAACTGGGATCCCGTGGACAAAACAGTGCTGGCCGATGAGCAAGTGGATGCCAATGGCTGCTCCTGGCGGTCGGGCGCCAAGGTGAGAGAAGAAACTGCTTAAGCAATGGTTCATCCGGACCAGTGCGTATGCCCAGCAGCTGCTGGACGGCCTGGACGATCCCACGTTGCGCGACTGGAGGGACATTATCAACCTACAGCGGCACTGGATAGGAGAGTGCGATGGCTACGCCTTCACGCTCCTCACCTCCGCCTCCAACCTGCTGAGGGTGTGGACTGCCAACCCGGAGCATCTCAAGGATCCGAATGCCTTTATAGTGCTCCGCAGCAAGCACTATCTCTCCAAGCTCTCGAATGCAGGCGGGCTCAGTGTGGAGAATCCCTTTGCTGGCACCACCATTCCCGTGGTCTGCAGCGACGAGGCTGCCTTTCCGGCAGACTGTGATGTCTATCTGGCGGCTCCCAGCTTTCGAAGCGAGGACAGGGAGCTGTGGGACTCCTTTGGCCTGGCTATCTGCGCATCTGGAACTGAAGAGACCCGTGTCAATCCTGGCAACTGGGAGCTGCTGAGGAAGGAGGTCCTCCAGGCAGCCACCCGACTGAATGTAGGTGGCTATCGAGTGTCCTCCAAGCTGCAGGACTGGCTAATCTCGCGACAGCGCTACTGGGGCACGCCCATTCCCATTGTGCACTGCCCAAAGTGCGGCGCTGTGCCCGTGCCCGAGGAACAGCTGCCAGTGACGCTACCCAAACGGGATTCGTCTGCCCCTCGGCAGGATTCAATGATCTGTGAGTGTCCAAAGTGCGGGGATTCAAACGCGAAACGCGAGACCGACACCATGGACACGTTTGTGGACAGTTCCTGGTACTACCTGCGCTTTCTGGACGCCCACAACTCGGAGCGCATCCTTGATCCCAGCCTCGCGAGTCAGTTCATGCCCGTAGACCTGTACATTGGCGGCAAAGAGCATGCCGTGCTGCATCTCTATTATGCGCGATTCATGAACCACTTCTTGAACAAGTGCGGCCTCTCGCCCACCAGCGAACCCTTCTCCCGCCTGCTGGTCCAAGGCATGGTCATGGGTCGCTCCTACCGCGTCAAGGGCAGCGGGCGCTACGTGCGCGAAGCTGACGTTGAGGTTGTGAATGCCAAGAAGAACCAGGCGCTGCTCAAGGAGACCCAGGAGCCAGTGGTCATGACCTGGGAGAAGATGTCCAAGTCCAAGCAGAACGGCGTGGAGCCAGACGACATGTTTGACGAGTACGGCACGGACACCACTCGCCTCATCATTCTCGCAGATGTGGCACCCACCTCGCACCGCAATTGGTCGAGTGCAAGTATGTTCCAAGGATTATTCGAAGATGATTCTGATGCTGATTCAATTGGGATTGCTTTCAGCCTTTCCTGGTATACTCAACTGGCAGAAACGACTCTGGCTGACGCTGCAGGAGTTTCAAGCAGCCCGCGAGGAGCAAGCGTCCACAGATGTGGATGTCCGTAGCGAGGAGTTTCTGGCGGAGGATGCCAAGCTCTTTGATGCACGAAACTTTTACGTGAAGGGCGCCACATTCAACTACCGCCATGCGCATCAGTTGAGCGTGGCCATCTCCAAGATGCAGGGATTGACCAACTCCATAAGGGTGAGTCCCCCTGCTAGCAATCCTTGTTAATCTATTCCTATTCCCATTCTATTCCCTTAGCGCACGCCAAAGCACATTCAGCGCCATGGCAAACAGTTTGAACGCGCCCTGGCTGCTCAAATCATCATGCTGGCCCCCATGGCGCCACACTTTGCCTCCGAGCTGTGGTCCAAGTTTGTGTCGGTGAAGGGGCGCCTAAACGACGCCAGCCAGGAGCTGCAGTGGGGAGAGGATGTGCTGTCGCAGCGCTGGCCGGACATTGATGCCGCCTACAATCTGGACCTGAGCATCAAGGTGAACGGCTTCGAGAACTGTGTGATCAAGGTGCAGCGCACACACCTGGACAAGGTGACGCACAGCGATGCCCTCGATATAGCATTCAACACGGAGTCGGTCACCTCGTACCTCATCGACAAGAAGATACGCACCACCAACTTTGTGCTCTATCCCGGCATCGAGGCCATCCTCAACATTTACGTGGACAAGGTGCAGAAGAAGGAGAAACCTGCAGTTGGCAGCAGCGATGCGGACAAGGTGCTGGCGGAGTAGCTGCATCCTAGATTAGATGATTAGACTAGACTAGACGATTAAGTGGTAAAGTTATGGCTGACGATTGTGTGCGGTGTGGCATTGGAAGTGGTTGGATGTGACCGGCTGAGCCGTGGAAATGCATTTCCCCTGGATTGGTACTCTTTAATCATTCATTAATTCAATGTTTATGTTAAATATTTATAAAAATTGGACTAGTTGTATGTATGCCTGCCGCCTTACAAGTTTGGTCTCTCGCGAGTCTCGGATCGAATCGAATCGGATCGGATCGGATCGGATGTAAATGCCTAGGATCATAGGAATATATAATGTTTTGCATGTTTGCATGTCGCGCAGTGTGCCACTAACTAAAAGCCAATAAGTCTACAAACTGCACTCACCCGCTCGTGGGCAGCGCTCCTCCTTGCTCACTTCATCAGCTCACACATCAGATTACGCAGATAGACGTCCAGCTGGGCGTAGTCCAGCAGCGTGTTGCGCACAATATCGAGCAGCATGCTCGGCCAGAGCGTCTCCAGCTTGTGCAGCTTCTCCACCGCATTGCAGGTGTTCTCCAGCAGCAGGGCAAAGTGCTGCCTACCCCGATCCCTGGCACTGGGCGCCATTGCATTGGCCCCACTCTCAGTGGCTGCTGCTGTTGGTGTGCCGCTGACAGGCGGCGCGGTTGCAGCATTCTTCTTCCACTGCAGCGCTTCCTTGCCGACGACGAGGCGCAGGGATTTATTGTCTGGCCGCAGGAGCCACTCCTTGGGCGACAGTTTGCTGGCCGTGCACGTCTCGTCCAGGCGGAGACGGGCCAGCAGCGGCTGGAGCATCACCTCGGGCATGGACCACAGAACGAGATCCGAGAGGCCTGCATACATGGCATTGGCTGCTTCTACCTCTGCCTCGGTCACCTCCTGGCCGTTCAGTTGCTTCAGGCCCCAGTGGGAGAGCCTGTAGATGGCGTACGCTCTCCAGGCCACCTTCGCGGTTATGCCGTTCCCCTCCGCATCGATGAGCAGGCTGCCCAGTCCCTGAAGCTCCGCCAGACCGTTCAGCTGGCCGAGGCAACTGATGTTCGTTTCCCGGAAGACAAAGTGCTCGGCGTGGGGGAAGCGCAGCTTGATCCTGCCCAGAATGGACACGATGCTGTTGAAGTTGATGTAGCTGAAGTTGAGCGTGTGCACGTCGTTGGCCTTGGCCGGATTCCACTGCTTGTCGATGAACCGCAGCGCTCCCTGGCCGTAAATGTTTAGGTATCGGCCGCAGATCTCGATTAGGTAGTCACCACCCTGCTCCCTCTCTCGCTCCGCTGCAGTCGGCTTCGTCACGGTGATGGCTGCTGCTGCTGCTGCTCCTCCTCCTCCTGTTGCCGCCGCCGTAGAGGATTGGCCAGCACTTGCGCTTGTCGGCGCCGATGCCTTCGTCTGCGACGGCACCACAGACAGCGCATTGGGGGTGGCCTTGGCGCGCCCTGTGCTGTTGCAGCTGCTGCTGTTGCTGGTGCTGCTGCTCACGGTCTGAGCCCTCACCAAACTGCCTGCCATATACCGCTTGGAGGGTCCTCCTCCGCCCCGATTGATCTGCAGTCCCAGCTGCGTGATGGGTGCATGCCTCGGACGCTGCTTACTGCTGGCCGGACGGCTGCCGCTTGAGCTTCCTGCCGCCGTGGATGTGGGCACGGGTAGGGTCGCCGTTGTCGATGGGGGCGGCGGAGTGGGCGTGGAGCACGGCACAGGCGTGCCAGGGGCAGCGGGTGGCGTCAGTGTAAGAGCTGGCGGTGAGGGCGATGGCGCCGCTGTCTTTGCTCCGTCTTGTGGCGGGGGCACAGGCGAATCAACTCCCCCCTCAACCACCCTGTTGCAGTTCTCATCGATCTGCGGTGTCGTCGGGGGTTTGTTCCTGCTGCTGCTGCCTCCTCCCTCCTCGTTGTCGGTGCTGTAGCAACTGGAACAAGAGTCCACGTTGGGTCCCAGGCTGGAGGCCTCCGATGAGACGCCATCCTCCTCTGGCAGCTTCTTGGCAATGGGCGGCAGTTTGATCAGGGCGTCCAACAGCTCCTTGGGCTGCTGCTGCGACTCCTCGGACTCTGTTTCCGGCTCCTCGTTGGCAGTGCCCTCGTTGGACTCGTTGATCTTGGCCAGCTCGCTGGTGAGGCGGCTCTTGGGGCGACCCATGGTCTGCTGGGAGCGCAGCAGCTCCCAGTTGGTGCGCGCATTCGATATCACCTCCTCCCTGCGGATGCTGTGGTACGCATCCGAGCTGCCGTGCGTCGACTGAGCCTGCTCCTTGTGCTGGCGCCAGGCGAGCGCCGCGCGACGCACCTGCTCCGTGATGGGCATCTGGCTGAGGGACTGCAGCAGCGGCAGATACGACACCAGGAAGGACACACAGTCGCCGGCCAGGGACACGGGATTGTTCTCGATCGTCACCTCCAGGAGACGCGAGGCGCGTGCTATGCTCGCCATATCGTCCACTTTGTGCAGCTCGTTGTGGCACAGCCACAGGCGCTCCAAGGCCACCAAATGCTGGAAGCCATTGATGCGCCGCAGCTTGTTCCGCTTGAGGTTCAGCTCGCGCAGGCAGCGCAAGCCCAGGAAGTCCTGCTGGTTGATCTGACGTATCTGATTGCCCGCCAGATTCAGGGACTTCAGCTGCTGCAGACAGTTGATGCGGCTGCCCAGCGTCGTCAGCTTGTTGCCGTGCAGATCCAGCACGCGCAGCGAGTCCTTCAGGGAGGCCAATCCACCGATGTCCGTGATGCGGTTCTTGCCCAGCAGCAGCACTGAGAGCACTGGAAGGCCGTCCAGGTTGGCTATCCGCTCGATTTGGTTGTCGTACAGATCGAGAAAGACCAGCTGCTGGAAGATGCTGCCGTAGCTGGCGCTCAGACTCAGCTGCTTGTTCTTGATGCTCAGCTGTTCCAGCGCGTAGCTGGAGGCCACACTGGGCTCCTCCTCTTCGCCCAGTCCCCCGCACAGCGACAGAGTGCTGCCGTTCAGGGCGCTGCTCTCGTCGCAGCTCTGCAGTATGCTCCCAGCCAATGCCCCTCCTGTGGCCTTCAGCAGGGCCCTTCGCTGCATGAGCTGCTGCTGGTGCTTCATCGCCTGCAGGCTGCTGGACATGAAGCTCTTGGACTTTTCCATGCCATAGCGCATTCGCAGAGCGGGCGGCGGCGTCAGCTGCGCCTGGCCATAGTTGTAGCCTCGCTTGGGCAGCTTCGAGCGTCCGGTGGCTCCTCCGCCGTTGATGGCCAGAGCTTGGGTGGTCAGGGGACTGCCCGCATGCGGACTCCCGCCGGACTTGGGCGACAGGTGTTGGTTCTGCGGATTCCCCCCGGCATTGGTCATGGCGCGCGTCAATCGCGGCTGGTGATGATGTCCCCGCAGGCCAGAGCGTCGCGTGTGCACTCCCAGATCGGATCCCTCCTTTGCACTCCCGTTGCTGTGATTGTGAGTGCTGTTGTTGCTGTATTCTGTGGGATCGGGAGATTGCAGTTTAGTGGATGAATCCTTTAGAGATGGATACATACCATCCCTTGGCGTGGACACTGCTGGGGGAGGAGCAGGCGGCACTGGCGGCGGTGGCGGTGGCAGCTCCTTGGGTATGTGGAAGGTGTTGATCAGATTGTGCTGCAGCGAGAGCAGCCGGAGATTGGGCTCCTGCTCGAAGATGGGAATGGCCGTGAGGCCACGCCGATCGTAGTTGATGCGATCGGGCAGCTCCTCGCGCTCCTTGGCCAGCCGTTGAATGCGACAGATGCCATTCGGCTGCGGCGTGACAATGGCTCCGCTCACCAGCGTTCCTCCCGTGCTGCCCACCAGCGTGTTGGGCGTCACAGCGGCCGTGGCCGGGCGACAGTTGTTCGAGGCCGCCGAGGAGGAGGTGGACTTGGAGCGTTGACGTGTGATGCCCACACCACGGTGCAGATTTCGTTGCTGGTTCCGCAGCTGAGCGGCTGTTCCATAGTTGCGCTTCAGCTGCTGTTGCTGTGGATGACCCACCTGCAGCTCCGATTGCTGTTGCTGTTGCTGTTGGTATTGGGCTGCTGCTGCGGCGGCCGTGGAGGGCACTGGATGACGCTTCTGGGCGATGACATTGTGGCTTAGGGTGCTATGTGAGCGACCAATAGGACGCCGGCGAAGTCGTTGATTAAAACTAGGAACGAACGGTTCGATTTTCAGCAAAGATGTTTGAGGTAAGTAGTTCTGTTGTTGTTGTTGTTGTTGTTGAAGTTGTGGCGACGTGGCAGCTGTTGTTGCAGCGGATGTGGGGAGAGCTGTAACTGGGACGGGAGCTGGTGTAGGTGTAGGTGTTGGTGCTGGTGCTGGCGACTCGACTCGACGTGACGGCGACTCAGGCGGCTCATCATGGATGGTGGAGTACTGCCTGCTGCGGCATTTGGCCATGGAGATCAGCGTGCGACGCCTGGCATGTGTTGCCGCCACCGTCGCCGTTGTTGTCCTTGGCTGCCCTTGTCCTTGTCCTTGCACCTGCACCAGCGCCTGTCCCTGGCAATGTCCCTGCCCCTGCCCCCTGCACCAGACCCTGGGCCGTTGCCGTGCGTGCGACTTCCACCTTCGAGTTTCATAATAGTTCTATGCGAGCGAGCGACTCCGCAAGAGCTTCCGACATGGTTCAAAATGGCTTTCCCGATTTCCTCCTCTCTCTCTCTCTCTCTCTCTCCCGAGCGTGTGCTTCCTAGCGTTGCATAATACGGGAGTACGGGGGGAGTAGACTGCAGATAGATCTTTGAGTGGAAACGATGTACATGGACTGCCACTGTCAGTTACTCACCCAACAGAGATGCAAGGGCCGTCCAGGAAAGGAGTCCACAAATGTATGCCCGTATGAGAGCCCGGTTCGGTTATCTAATTTGCGATTGCAGTCAATTCGTTGGGTGGACGATGGATTATGGATTACACAGATACAGATACAAATACAGATACAGATACTGTAACTTTTGGAGGAGCTTCTCTCCTCTCCTCACCACTCCTTTTCGCACCACTTTCCACTTGAGGCGCGCTCTGTGGCTCGGTTCGGTTCCGTTCCGTTGCAGTGGCTGCTTTCTGGCGCTTCTCTCCCTCTACTATCCACTCTGCTCGTGGTTTTTCTCTCTTCCGCCCAAAATTTTGGTTCAATTTTTGAGTTGATTTTTTTTTTTTGTTCAGTCTTTTGGGTCGCGTCTCCGGCACTGCCACTGGCACTGGCAACGGGTCGGGTCGGGTCTGGTCTGGTCTGGCTGGGGCTGTGTAGCCTAAGCCCTAGCCCTGTGCCTGGGCCTGTGCCTGGGCCTGGGTCTCTGGGCATGTTTTATTAGTTTGTTTATTCGGGTTATACATATACATATTGGCGCGGTTGCCATAGACCTACCTATGTGTACCTGGTGCAGTCAGGAGACAGTCGCGTAGCGTCGCGTCGCCTCGTTGTCCTTATTCCACACACCCCTTCTTCCGCCTCGTCTCCCGCTCCGCTGCTCCGCATTCCACATTCAGTTATTGCCTATTGCCTATTGCTTCTTCGTGATTTCCGTTATTAGTTTGTTTATTTAAAGCTCTTTCGGAGGCAATATAGTACCTGGCTGAGGCGCACGGCAAAGGCGTCCTACTACCACATCACCAGGACGACTGACAGCTAGACAGACATTCCACATGCAGCGCATATGGATATGGGGCTTGGCTTGTTGCTGCTGCTGCTGCTGCCACTGCCACTGCCACTGCTTTCGCTTCTAAACATACCAAAACATTGGATTTACTGGGCTGCAGGCGGTACAACGCAATTGCTAGGGTCCATTGGGTATCCTTGAATGAAAGCAATGACAGTACTTGCAGGATTTTGCTTAAATTGTTCTGCATTTCTTTTTCCCCAGAGATGAAGGACAGCAGTGTGTACACACTGTCATCAATAAAGGTGAATTACACGTGAAATACTATTATTTATATTATTTATTTATTATATTTATTTATTATTTACAAAATAATGATCAGCGTGTTGCTATTGTAGGGCAACAAATTGCTTATTTTCAGATACATATGCCAGGAGTTCTCTTAATTCTAATCTTGCTTTTAAACAAAAGAAAGAGACATTTTGTGGAAATGTGTACACACTGTCTCACCACTCAGCTGATCAATCGTGGTTTTGTTTTTTTTGTTCTGTAGTGTTCTCTGTCATTCACCTTGGCCGTGGCGACACCGATACCTGGCGATCTCAGTGAGTCCAACCAGCGACGCTTCCTGTCCTGCTCTTGCCCGCATGCAGGCCGAGACTTTGGCGCCGTGTGCAACTTTGAAGGGAAAAGTCGTTTGCATTAAAAACCCATTTCGTGGCTTTTCATTGCTGTTGTTGTTGTTGTGGTTGTTGTTGTTAGTGGAAACAATTCTGATTTGCGTATGGCCCGCCATCGCACCGCTGCAGAGGAGCAGGTAACACGCACATAATTGCCTGCCATCATAATGGCTTCACGTGCCAGCCAAGTGAGTGGTTTTTGGTTGCTTTGCTTCTCTGCGCCCGTGCGAAATATGCAAAAGTTAAGCGACAACCACAGGCACAGGAAGAGACAGAGACGAGACAGAGTCGAGACGATGGCGCTGCAGGGAATGCAAGAGGGGGTGGTGCGGTGTGGTGCTGTGCTCTGCCACACACCTAAACAATTAGCCAAGTCTACAGCCTGGGAGCGAAGAGTTGCCCCCTGAAAGCAAAAGGGCCACCAAAAAGCATTGCCCGATAGATCCATCGAAGACACTGCAACAATTCGAGTTTAATTGATGCCATGCCATCACTGCCAGTGCCACTGCCAGTGCCACTGCCAGTGCCACTCTGCCACAGCAGCAACAATAATCGAATGTGCCAAAGCTCGGAGTGTGCGTGCGTTGGCATTTATGCGGTCCCGAGTGCCGCTGGCTCTGGCCGGAGCGAGAGAAAGCTGCCGAGGCTCCTTGAGGGTCGTTTCTGCCTGTCAGACAGGACAATAACTAAGCCGTTGATTGGCAGACAGACTCCCATTTAAGGCCTCACCTTTCGCCTCTGCCAGACTGCGCCTGATGGGCTGCCATTAGTCCTGTCCCTGCGTTCAATGAACTTTCTTCGTGTTGTGCAACAAGTGACGAGTGGGGAATTCCTAACAGATTTTGCAAATTTATATTTTATTTTTTTGGGATAAATTTATTACTGGTAGCTACCACTACGGTCGAAATGATTAATTTCCTTATTTGCTTTTGTTATTTTTCTCTTTGCTGCCGCTGCCACTGCCACTGCTGTTGCTCTTCCTACTTTATTAATTATAAATAAACCCAGCTGAAAAGACAACAGCACCAGAAACAACAACAAATTAACAATAATAAAGCGCGTTTCAGTCTTAATGTATGGTTGTGTGGGTGTGTGTGTGTGAGGGTGAGGGTGGGATGGGGATGGGTGTGCGTGTGTAAATTATTCATAACGGTATTATCAGCTTTTCTGCGCGCTGCCAGACTGATTAAATTGCCCATCGCACGTTGGGGGCCAAACCAAGGCCAAAAAAACAAGGGGGCAAAGAGCACTTCGACGGAGGGCGCCCAAAGCTAATGACACTCACACATGCATACACATATTAAGTGTGTGGGTGTGAATTCTGTGTGGGCTACATAGTATATAGAAATAAAGGAAGATTAACTACACTTTTTCGCCACTCTCCATCGATCCCTTTTGAGGCTTTAAGCGCAAGTAAAATATATCCTGCAATCGGCCCTACCCGCTGTTGAATTTACCTTGAGCTGACATTCTTCTGCTCTCCACTGTGCAAGCAATTTATCAACTCCGTCCGGCTCTGCCTGCCACCCGTCCCCGGTCCCCGGTCCACCGTCCACCGTCCACGTCACTGTTCTCTGCTCTGATCCAACCAATTCAGTGTGTGGTCAGGGACAATTGCAGCAGCGAGCTGTAATTATTAAAAAGTATATAACAACAGCAACAACAATCGAGATAATGAGCCCAAGAACAACACATGGGAGGGGCGGGGGAAAGCGCAGAGCGAAAGCGAAAGTGGAAATGTTGCAAAAGGTTGGAGAGCAGACAAAGGAAAGACCAAAGGTTGAACGCTATCGTGGTTCCGTTGCCCCCACCCTCCCATCCGCTTGCCGTCTGATTCCGACCTCCTGCACTCGTTATCTAGAGCAGCGTCGGGGACATGGACATTCTCCTCACGCAAAAGCCTGCAAAATTAATGGCCAACAAGGATGTCAACAGCAGCGGCAACAACCACAGAGCAGAGCAGAGACAGAGGACCTGCAACGGTAAATAGCGCTAACCAGGCTCCTGGGTTAAGTTTACATCCATCGCAGCAGGACAAACGGACCACCAATGCTGCAACAATGCTGCAAGTGCAACAGCAGCAGCAGCAGCAGCAGCAGTAGGAGCAACAGGGCGACAGGCAAAGAAAAACTTTGATAAAACATTAAAGTGGCAGCTGGAAAAAAGTCGCCTAAGACTGAACAAAAGGGAAACGGGGCACACAGGTACAGGCACACAGGTACGTTACATATTAGTTACGGTGCCTGGGGTTACAGGGTTCAAGTTCTGGAGATTCCCCTTTGTCTCTGCCACACTGCATCTCCTCCATTCAATGCGTCAGAATAATCAATGCAAGCCGCCACCGCAAAAGCAAATATCATCGATGCACTATGCACGTCTGCGGTGAGGCTAATATCGAAATGCTGCCCGGCCCAGACGACCGCAGTAATTGAAACATTCGGAAACAGTCACCCAACATACCAGACACCCACACACAGATGTAAACACACAGATTTGTACACTGTTTGTCGTCTGTTGCTTAAAGTATAGTTTTTAATTATATTTTGTTCAGTTGCATTACAGTTTCAATCAGCTGACTGCAGTCTTCTGCTGCTTCTTCTTGGACATCGTAGAGGCCTTAGACGCCAGCTGGATGTACTCCGTGCCGCCGCTGGAAGCCACTTCCAGCTCGCTGCTTCCGTTGAGTATTTGTGCTACGTGTGCCTCGTCGATTGTGCCTTTGAATATCAAAGGAAATGGCCATTCGTGGCATATCGTAGGACCGCCATAGTCGCGCAGTGCCTCGATCAGCCTATCCAACCGCTGCATCTCCTCGTAGTCATCGTTCAGGGCCCGCACCTCGTCCAGCAAAGCGGCCACATCGGATTCGAGCACCTGGAGAGTGTGACTAGAAATTAGATTACCAGCAAAATCGCTTATTTTGCTCGATTTGCTTTGAGCAATGTGTGAATGGACGTGGCGTGGTGTGGAGGGGTAGGGCGGGGGGGAAGTTAGCACTCGTGCAGTGGTATCGGATGACACTGACAGTAACTACTGCGACGGCGTTCCGGTCATTGATAGCCGCCTCGCCTGTGCAGTGGCCTGGGCATTTTGTCCGTCCACCGTCTGTCCGCGTTGTCTGCGGCTCGGATTTCAGCTACAAAATCTTTTCACGGGCCTCGTCAATGTCGGGTCTATTAGAACCCAATTAGCAAAGTCTCTGAACCCGGGAAACTAAGCTCATGTTCGATGCATTTTAGGGAGGCGCACTCGAGCCCCTCCATCCTCATGTTAGCCCATGGGGCCCTGCCGGCTTTCTCTAATTAGCGGTCCAAGTAATCACAGCAACCCCACCCCACCCCACTCCCGCCTGCACAATGCCCACCCCCTTCTAAACACAACATTCTAACATTTCGTTCCCAATAGTGGGGCTATAATTGCATTAACAGATCCCAAACTGTGTCGCAACTGTTAACAGCGGGCTGCTAGAGCGAAATGTTACGCTAGACAGCAGCGGGTCTGAGAGAAACAACAACACTTGGGGTGAAAATAATAGCTATGTATATACTAGCTACATATTCAATCAATGGGAAACTATTTCGTTATTATTCTTCCGATATGGTAATCCAAGTCGGGTACCTATTATTAGGGGCTCAAGTGTAAAACATATGGAATCATAATGCCAGAGAGGGCTGGGAAAGAGGGAGAGATAACGAAAGTGGAACGGAATGCAGCCAGAGGAGAGAGAGAGAGAGAGAGCTAGGTAGGGGTAACATTTACAGCTGGCTTTCGGCAGCAGCGAATGCAAATGCAAACAAGTGTCACACTGTGGTCTAGTGGATTACAACACTTGTTTCTGTATGTGTGTGTGTGTGTGGGGGTCAAAGAATGATCCGAGAGGGGGCATGGCATGGGATAGGGACAGAAACAGGGTGGTGGTGTGGTGTGGTGTGTTCAATTACCAAAAACTCAATATGCAAATTAATAACACATTTTAGCACTTGACGTACACGACCGCGCAAACTTTCAACGCTGTGCAGCAGCTGCCGGCGACGCTGCACCGCCGTGCTAATTGGCGGCGACATCTCGTTGTGGGCTGGCAGGCGGCCGGCGGGCACCAGCTGCCGTTGTGATCCCGTTAAATATTTAATAGTGGAGCGGAGGCGAACCAACCGACCGACCGACCGACCACTGGCGACACTTGTCAAAATTTTGGTTCGTTTATCGCGAGCTTTTACATAGCGTTAATTTGTTCAAACTCTTTTTGGTTTTATTTTCTTCTTTCCCGTTTTTCGGTGTGTGTGTGTTTGTTTGTGTTGCGGCTTTTGTTCTATTTTTCGAGTGTTGTTTTGGGTCTTTGGGGGCTTTTCCGCGGCCTCTCTGGCCCAGCGCTCGGCGTTGAATGCGCCCTCTCAGTGTGCGGTGCCTCTCCACTTGACGGACAGACTATTTGTTTACGTGCGTCAATCAGTCATATACTTACACTCTCCCTTCCCCTCTCTCCCACGCTCTCTCTTTTATTTAGTCGAACACAATCGCGAGAGAAGAGCGCGCTGTTTGGAGAACAAAGAAAATACTGAGAACGAACCGGGAACTGTTTGGGGTAAAGCTCTTTATCGGTTCTGTTCTTTCTGTACGGACAGACTAAAAGTATGATATGATTTTTAATCGTGTGGAAGCTCTACAGGCGGGCAGCTTTCATAAGCAGAGAGATCTGCTGTATTTTCTGGTATTTCTCGGAGATATTTCAATTTAAACATAATAATTGTTTAATTTTGCGATTACAATGGGAAAGTATATTCCAAGATTTCCACAGATTTTTTATCCATGCCTGAAACAGATCCGTCGTATGTACTCCACTTCCTGTATTAACTACTCGAACTAAGAACAGACAGCAGCTAAAAACATCCTTGGATGTTCCTTAGAGGATATTTCAGTGTTTGTATGATTATAAGGGGCTTGTTATCATAGGAAGAACCAACCATAAAGATAACATCCATTTGCCGAGACTGCTGCTGCACTACCTTTCCATATTCATACCCGCGGGCCACAATGCGAAAGTCTTGGCTTAAACAGCTCTTCGCCTTTGTTTAGCTCCACCAATCTGCAATCCCTGCTGCTGCTGCTGATGCTGCTGCTGCCAAGCCAAAACAAGCATCAGCTGCTGGCCATTAAAATTTTAATTTTGTGCACCATTTGACGCCATCTTGGCCCACTGAGCACCATCAGCATCAGCCTCAGATGGAGAGCATCACCCGATGCCATCGCCATCGCCATCGTCATGGCAATCCCGTGCAAAGCCCTTGGCTTGAGCGATTATGTTGATGGGCAAACGGAGGCTGCTTACCTGCATTGTCCGCCCCTGTCCAGACTCGGAAGCACTTGTCTTTCTTCCCCCCCTGTCGCCCCTCGTCGATAATACGCTCAATTCAATTTGCATATTCAGTTGTCCAATGAAGCGCACGCCACACAGGAGGGAGCAGTACAGAGCCTTCTTCGCCACACCGTACTCCAAATCCAATCCAATGCAACCCACTCGCTTCCTACTCCGCCTCATCCTCCATTCGTTCCCACCTCATCGCACGTCCAAACAAATGGTTTTTTTATACCCGTACTCAAAAAAGAGTTAAGGGGTATATTAGATTTGTGGTAAAAGTGGATGTGTGTAACGCAGAGAAGGAAAATTTTCCGACCCCATAAAGTATATATATTCTTGATCAGCATCAATAGCCGAGTCGATATAGCTATGTCTGTCTGTCCGTCTGTCTGTCTGTCTGTCTGTCTGTCTGTCTGTCTGTCTGTCTGTCTGTCTCGATGAGCGCCTAGATCTAGAGACTATAAGAGGGGCAACCAAATTTGGTTTCCAGACTCATGTGATATCCCACTGCTACAAGTGTATTCAAAATTTCGCCCCGCCCCCTTCCGCCCCCACAAAGAACGAAAATCTGTGGCAGGCACATTTTTAAAGATACGATAAAACTAAAAACGCAGTATCGTAAAGAATGCCCATACTACCAGATTGCCGAACTGAATCAGATCGGATCATAATTATAGCCAGAATGAAGAAATGAATTTTCTGTTGGTTCCCTCTCCTCTCCAGCGCTGCTGACGCTACTGATTCCTTCTCGCTCGCACACTCTGCCGCGTTCAGTGCGCGAGCAACCCTAGCGGAGGAGATGTAGAATATAAATGGTACATGTACAATCTACATGTTAGATGTGGAATATACATTGTAGATGTAATGTAGATAACAGATGTAGCAAAAAAGTAAAATGTAAAATTTTTTTTTTTAAATAAAAAATCATTAGCTCAAAAATGTATATACAGACTGAGTACGGGTATAAGTAGAGTCGCGTCCCCAGAAGCGACTCACACGTTCCTTCTCGTTTTTCTCTGCTGCCATTCTCGTTGGCCAACTTGGAAGCAGCCGAAATGTGCCGCTGACAGCCAGGCACGCATGAGGAGATGCTCGAGCAGCAGCAGCAGCAGCTTCAGCTCCAGGCTCCAGGCTCCAGAGCAAATGCGGATCCTGTTCGAGGCAGGAGTCCGCCTCACCTGCTGTTAGTCCATTACGTTAGCAATTTAACTTGCGCCACGTAAACATGATTATCATCTTAAGTGCAGTGTGTGGGATGTGTGTGGGATGGATGTGCGTGCAACAGAAGCCGAAATGGGAGTGGGAGTGGGAGTGGAAGTGGGTGTGGCATCCATGAGGGTATTAACGTTAACTTTGCTGTAAGCCAGTTGGTTCGCTGTTTCACAAGTTTCAATCTGCTTAAAATTGCAATTAATTTAAACGCTTTCTTTTCTCCATTATTGCCAAAAACAATGGAATAACAACGTGGATCGCACACACAACCCACTCGCACACCCAATCATACGCCCCACATTTATCCCCTTCCCCATGGCCAGTCCCGATTCCAATCCGGTTAGAGTGCTGGCTGCCCTAATTGAGCTTGTCAAAATCAGGCAGCCAGCAGCCAGCAGCCACCAGCCAGGTACGCTCGTGACATCCATAAAGCGGAGCAGGAGCAGAACACACACACCCACCCACAGCCTACGCAGCGGAACAAGTGGCAGTTCTGGACCCGTCAACATCATCAGGTGGCGGCCGGATCCTGATGCGATTGCTGCAGATTGAACCGCAGCAAGATTCGCCCATACATTCGCCAGAGACCTCGCCGTAGACCTCATCCCAGAGCCATTCCGGTGACAGTTGGTCCAAAATTGCAACAGAAGCTTGATTAATTTGGGGGCGTGCCCGTGTTAAATCTTGTGGGCGTGTCTGGGACACAACACCATTTTGAGGCCCAATATAACGTGTGCGGGGGGAGTATTCGAGGGTGTTGGATGCCGGAGGGTGTGTTGGACATAACGAAAAGGGAGATCTGGGCAGTACGAAGTAGTTCGAAATCTTACGATTATATCACTTTATCCGTGCAATATATAGCTGCGATATAATTCTGTGTCCTATATAGATTTCTAATTGCTCTTAAATAAATCTTAAAAATATTTACATATACTGTAGATTACTATTCCATTTACTCTAAGCCAAATATATTTCCCAAAGGGTATTTTAGTAGCTGCATCGCAACCCGCCGGGGATTACCCATTTAAACTCTCGCTCTCACTTGTTTCTGGGAGTCCGTCCTCTGACAGAGGGTAAATATGAAAAGCGAGAGCCAGCACGGCCAACAGAGAGTTCATCAAAAACACAGACAGTCGAAAAAAAGGGGAAGCGCCCAGACAACTACAAGTGCAATATACATATGTACATACATACATATATGCATGCATATATAAATGCAAACAGACAGACAGACAGACAGACAGGGATAGACACAACGCAGAGAAAGAGAGAGCATCAGAAAGTACCGTTGACATGCCCATTATCAGGAAAACAAACCGGAGATTAACTTGGCAAAATGTCTGCAGACGTCACAAAAAAGCAAGCAAGCGGGATGGCAACATTGCCAGGATGGCCACTAGAGCAGCAGCAGCAGGAGAAGTAGCACCAGGAGTAGGACCACCAGATGGTGAATAATATATGAGTCAGAGAGATAGACACACACACAAACAGACACAGACACGCATTTGGTCTGCGGCCCTGTAAGAGTGACACATGAGCGTAATAACAGCTAAGACCTTCCTTAGCATCCGGCAGTCAACAACCACTTGCTGGATCCCGTATCCAACCGTAGCATCAGCATCATCAACATCAGCCTCTGTCCTGAGTCCTGAGTCCGTAGTCCTGGCCATGGGCCTCTGGCTGTTCGAGCAGCAGCAACCCCCTTTGGCTGGGACGCCGCTGCACTCAGCATGATTACAAATTATAGCGTCTGAGCAATCTGCCGTCCCTGCCTCTGCCGCTCTGTGTGCGTGTGTGTGTGTGTGTGCTCGAAGGGGCGGACTTTTGTTGCCGCCCATAGGAAATATAATTGCACAACTTTTGCCAACGATGACGACGCCGCCGCCGCCGCCCGGGGTCAAAGCGGGGAAGGTGTGGACAAACGACTAACGAATTTGGTGCTGCCTGCACGCACTGTCCTCAGTCCTCAGCCCACTGCTCTGAAGCTGGATTTGGATCTGCCTGTGACTGCTGCCTGCTTCTTGCCTTCTAGTGGTTGGCCAGACCTGCAGACTGTTCAGACCTTGCCGCTGGTTGGTTGACTCTTTGCCTCGACCTGGAGTTGGAGTGTGCAGTCCGTCCTCCCAGTGTCCACCCCAGCAGCCATCCGGTGCAGCCCCCAGCCGAGCTCAGCCCTCTCCCCTGCTTAGATAATTCCGTTAGCTTTCAATGTTTTTGTTGTTTCGTTTGCTCGTTTCGTTCTAATAACTTAATTATGCATTTGCCCGTAAATTGCTGGAAATGTCTGCTTTTTGAGCTGCATTTAAGATGGCGTCGCCACCGCAGGCGGTTTGCCGGGCAGGAGACAGAAGACAGAAGACAGGATGCTGTCTAGGGGATGCTTCGGTAAGCCTAAAATCATGCAGTGGATTTCGAGTGAAAGTCAAGGTGAAAAAGTGAAGGTGAAAGTAAGCCGAGCCTCCAGGAAGGGAATTATCCATAAAATACAATCCATTTCCTTTAGCAACTCGACTGGTTAAGCATTCCCTCTGCCCCTTTACCCTGGTTTGATACCTTTTGCTCTTATTTAAATAATAATAATAATAACGACATCTATTTCGGTGGAGCAATTGTGCATCGTATCGTTTCCCCCCATCAGAGCATCTAAAACTTAGTTTTACTGCTACCACTACTCCCACGCTTTATGACCACTTTCGTTCGTTTTTCGTTTCATGTGGCTCGGCTCTGGAATCTCTGTAGGTTCCTGGCTCTGTCTGTGTGTGGGTGGGCTGCTGGTTTTTGCTGCTTAGGAGGAGGCACGTGGCAGAGTGCGCGATTTTTCAAGGCGG